ATAATAACTTACTACTATTATGAAAATAGACTTAGTGGCCCCCCCAAAAGAGTATCTGAAACCTTTTCTCCAGGTATTCTGCAGTATAATTTAAGAACTGCTATCTAGTTATTAATCTTATTTCTCTCTACTCTAAACTATTGCAATGGCATCTTTTGGCATCCTATATCTATGAATTCATTTGCAAAATGTGAGTACACGAATATGAAAGAATAAAATAATTTTGATGCTGTCTTTTCAACTATTATTTTTGATGCAAACATCCTCAGTAGACTCATCCTTGAAAGTGGAAATGAGCAGGCTGATAGCACAGCCATTAGGAGAAAGTCAATGCTGATAACCTCTACTTGATGATCCTCTGAGATTGCATCTTTATAATTCATAAAATTTGCTGAAGGTCACAGGTGAAGCACAATGACTTGTGTCCTTGTACTGTAGCAATAGGGGCTACCCCAGACCACAGAAACTGGGAGCAAGAAGACATGTTTTGATTAAACTGTGCAGAAGTCTGTTTTAGGACTTCATGCAAATACTAACCTCATTTTAAAACATGGAGGAAAATAATCATGGGTTAATTTAGTTGTCAGGAACAGAATGAACAGTTAAAACCAAAACACACACAGTCCCATTTAAAAAATTTCATCAACAGAGACACAAAGGTACTAAGGGTTGATGATATTCATCCTTCCTCATCAGTGCTGCTCCAGGCATCTTCAAATGCTGGATTCAACTGTGATTTGGTTGTAGTCTAAAAAAAAAAAGGGAAAGGAAGATTCTATTTTTCTACTTCATAATTTCAGGCTCATAATAAGGTTATAAAATATACCAGATGAACACCAATTAGATTATTTTGAAAGAAACTGTATAATTGTTAACTTAAAAACAAAAGTAATTTAAGAAACATCCCAAATATAATGTAAGATAATATACCTGCATTTTAAACAGACATACCAAACTTTATTCAAGTAACCTGTGTTTTCTTCAAAGTAGTATATCTCACAAAGATGTACATATATATACTATGATGCCGGTATTGCTCAAGATATTTCTGCAAATGTTTGAAATTGCCTGGAGAAAGTGGTAAATCCATGGGGCTAAAACTTAACTACAGTATGACTTGACAGTCTGGTATATTAAGGTGAGCAACTTTTCATTGTTTAGATGGACCTGACTTTTAGAAATAAAATCCAAATATGGGGAATAAGGTATTCATCAAGCTGAGTAATACCATTTTTATTCAAAAAAGTAATGTGGGTTATTAAGTAGTTAAGTTTATTTGTTTGCTTTTATACGACTGGTAAAGTAGTTCAGAAGCACATGCAAAATATGTCAGAAATGATAATATGTTTGTAATTAGCACATAGGTTTCCATGGGAGATTTCTCTGAAAGATAACAGCATTGGGATGGTGTTTATTTAAAACAACAACAAAACGTCACAGTATTCTTACAACTTTAGAAAGGCTACATCTAATAAAGGTAATCAGCAACTAGAGAAATTTTAATTATCTGTGGTGTACCAAACTAATCACCTTTTTGGGAAACCTTCTAAATGGCTACCTTCTTATTCTCTGGCAAATGACTAAGAGGGCTTTAAGATGGTCTCATTTTTAAAGTGTCTGGGCATTATGAACCAGGTTTGCCTATTATTTGGCAGCTTTCACATTTGCTGCAAGGCTGTTTAGATTGAAATTCCCATAATGTATTAGCACCAAGACTACTTTTTTTTTTTTTTTACCAGTAAGGGCATTGCAACCCTCAGCACAGTGTGGTCCACACCATGCTCAGCCAGTGAGCGCACCGGTCATCCCCATGTAGGATCTGAACCCGTGGCCTTGGGGCTACCAGCGCTGCACTCTCCTGAGTGAGCCACAGGGCCGGCCCTAAGACTACTTTCAAATTATCTTAGATGTATTGCCTTTTACAACTTAAGAAATATTTTATGTTAAGGCGAACCCTATTGCATGTCTGAGAATGTTTATTTCCTTTTTTACAAAATTTTATTTTAATTGACACATTGTACATACTGATGGGGTACAATCTGATGTTTTCATACATATATATGATGTATAATGATTGAGTCTGGGTAGTTAATGTATCCATCATCTTATGTATTTATCATTTCCTTGTGGCAAAAACATTCAAAAGCCTCTCCTCTAGCTGTTATGTAATATACAAAACTTACCTGTTAACCATAGTTACCCTACTGTGCAATAGAATACCAGAACTTATTCCTTCTATCTAATTGTAATTGTGTACCCACTGGCCAACCTCTTTCATTTCCTTTTTGATAAACATGATTACTTAGAATCATGTTCTGGGGATCCTGTTCCCAGTAAATTTCCTGAGAATCAACCAAGATAGTTGGAAAACAATATATTAACTTAGGCATTCTTTATAGTTGTTAAATAGCTCAGAGTACATTACTGCCTTGGGCTGAATGTCCCCCCAAAACTTAATCCTCACTGTAACAGCTGAGAGTGGGAAATCCTATTATGGTAATTGAAAGGTGGGGCCTTGAAGAGGTGATTAGATTGTAGGACCATGCCATAGTGAATGGATTAGTAATGTTGGTCAGGGGCGTGGTTCTGAGAGCTTTCAAAAAAGAGCACGTGAGGTTAGTCTCTCTCTGATCCACCGTTTTCCCAATGTGATACTCTGCTGTCACTGTCACCACCACCAAGGCCCTCACCAGATGTGTTCCCTAGACTTTGGACTTCCCAGCCTCAGAAACTGTAAGCAAATAAATTGTTTTTTATAAATTATCCAGTTCTGTGTATTTTGTTATAAGCAACAGAAATGAACTAATACAATTACTAAATCTCATGTCAGCTATCATCACTTAGGTGTATAACCAAATTCCATTATACCATAAATGTCCAGATACAAAACTATTATCAAACCTCAGCTAACTACTCACAAATTTCTAGCAGCAGTCCACTTACTTGCAAGAGTAGTATACTGAAGTCTGTTCATTTATTCTTTCATCCAAATGTTTATTAAACTTCCTGTCTTTTGGGGTTTATAATTTAACTACTAGGTTAGGTTATTTGTGGGTACTTCAAAAAGTTCATGGAAAAATGTAATTAAAAGATAATACAAGGGCCGGCCTGGTGGCGCACTGGATAGTGTGCCGCTTGGGAAGCGCGGCGGCGCTCCCGCCCGAGGGTTCGGATCCCACATACAGACCGGTTCCCGCTCACTGGCTGAGCGAGGCGCGGGAGCAACACCGAGGGTTGCAATCCCGTTGCCGGTCCCCGGTCCGGTACGGGGGCAACACTAAGGGTTGCGATCCGTTGCCGGACACGGAAAAAAGACAAAAAAAAAAAAGATAATACAAATCTTTTCATGAACTTTTTGAAGTCCCTCATACTGTCCTTGGGGAGTAAATGACTCCTCTTCCCTACTCTTTGTCTTTAGAAGTCTTTAACTCTGCCTTAGATATCTACCAGAAGTATCCCAGGGTGGATAAGCCACACAAAGTTCATTCCTCCTAATTCTACTATGGAAGCCCAATGTGTAACACATTAAACATTTTATTTTCATTTGAAGACTCAACAGAGAAGCAAAATTATATTTGCACAGATATATAAATTATCTTTGCTATGGTGAGCAAAGAAACAAAAATAAGTGAAAATCATAATATAATTTCATATAAACTTTACTGTTTATAGTAGTAAAACAAAGACAACATGAATGCATTGCAGTATTATTAGAAATACACTTTACAACTGAAGCAATCATAAATACGTCATACTTGTAGTAAAAACCTGCAGTAAAAATATGTAGATGGATGTAGTTCACATATTACTGTTTGAGACCCACTGATCAAGTTTAACTACCATCAATTACTTCCGTTTTCTCTACAACATCTCCTCCTAGTGGACATCCAATCTATACTTGAAAATATTCATCTTTACCCCACCAGGTTGCCTGTTCTACTGGCAGATAGTTATGGAGATAAAGCAGCATGAGTTTAGAGGGGACCTAATCCAGGTCCAAACAACGGGAAGGAGAAATGAAACCAAACTTAGTATCTACCAGGGATACGTCTTGATAGCTTTCAAATTTCTGACTGGCAATTACTAGAAAGGCTCAGGGTTGTCTGCGTCAGCAAGTGATTATACATCTACACAGGTGGTAAGTAAAATAGGTATGTATTATGTGACTGTCAAAATAATGTAAGATTTTGATGAGAGGTCAGATTTAAACTGTAATGTATCTGCTCTATAGATCTCAGGCACGAAAAAGTGATTTGGAGTTACATACAGGCTTGCTTTGACCATGAACAAGTTTTAAAAAGTAGAGGCAAAAGAAGCCAGATTCCTCAGAATGTAATAAAACAGCCTGCCAAATAAATAATAAGATTTATGCTTAAAAGCCATAAAATCTATCCCTATCATCCAGTGTCCTTTTGTTTCTTTAGATATAATTAAATTCCTCCTCTACTTTGGATATCAGGAGAAACACCCCTAAGGGATTATATCTTGGCTGATGAGCAAGTAAATCTCATCTGAAGGGAGGATTTGAAAGGAAACCTAAGGGCAACTTTGCTTTGACAATTCTGTTATTTGAAAATATCATAAACTTGTCACAGATCTCAAGGGTAATGAATGGCAGAACTGAGACCAAATTGAAGTTTACATGAAACTAAAGACTAAGTATGTGTGTGTATATGTGTGTGTGTGTTTTGTTTTGTTTTACACTGTGCTATATTGCCTCCCTGGGAAACTGCAATAGTAATTTATATGATAGTTAAGACGAAAACACTTTTTAATATGAGTTAAACTGTGAACATGTGTGAAGAATAGGGTCTTGTGCACAGACTTCTTCACTGCGATCTGCATCATGATCATATTTGAGTTCTACTTACACTCACAGAAACCTTTCAAACTTAAGTTTTATGGAAATAACCTTTGCACATACCATTTTATATTAACATGAGAAAAAATGCTGTCTTAAAACATATGAACACCATATTTTAAAAAACAAGATTTTATAGCTTAAATATAAAATTTGACTTGTTTTTTGTGTATCTCTATTTGATTTTCTACTTGTTTTACTTAATTTCTCATACACGAGTTTTTTAGATGAGGATTTCAAATTATCACTATAGCTACATAACAAGGAAATAAACTATCAGAATCATATATTACCTTCATAAATTAAGCAATTTAGTTTTCTTCTAATATCCTTGTCTATATATGTCACAGTAGCTCTACTTTTCACTTATTTTTGTTTGGTAAATGATTGTTATATTTCCTAACATGACCTATAATGTTATAACTTAGATTTAATGTATACAGTAATTCCCAAAGAGTGGAATACAATAATTAAATAATAATGCAAAATAAATGGCTAAACCAAATTATTTGACTATATTGAACTTTCTACAGAAGAATATTCAGTCATCAAAACCAACTGTATGAGGGCTGGCCCGTGGCTCACTCGGGAGAGTGCGGTGCTGATAACACCAAGGCCACGGGTTCGGATCCTATATAGGGATGGCTGGTTTGCTCACTGGGTGAGCGTGGTGCTGACAACACCAAGCCAAGGGTTAAGATTCCCTTACCGGTCATCTTTTTTTTTAAAAAAAAAAAAAACCAACTGTATGCTAAAACTAATCAAGCCGTGATAAGCGAAATTAGACATGTCATAACGTCTGGAAGTATCCATGTGGCATTTGGCCAGCTGCTTGAAGATTTATCAATGTGTGTTTTTTCTCCCTTTCATTTGGATTGGAGCCAAAAGAAAATAATTTGCAGGCTTTACACTGCAGTAAACCATAGCAGCTGCAAAGTTAGGTATGAAATATATTTTGTCAATAGCTGTCAGATGCTATCGACTACCCCCTAACAATTCTATTTTATGTGGTTTTTGACATGATCCTATTTTCATAAAGGCATTAAATATATAAAAAATGTTTTTAGAATGTCAAACTTGCTCTATCAGTAACTTTCTTCCACCTCCATTTAAGATGCTCTGACTTGGTTAAGATTACATTAAGGTACTTCTAAATACATTATTTATATCTCCAACTTAAAAAATTATGCATATAAACATTGTCTTTGGACATTAAACTTTTTATATACTAGAAATTAAGATAAATGGGGATGATTAATAGTGCTTAGCAGAATAATCCTCGGTGGGAGAGAGACCACCTTTAGACAACCTTTATCTTACTACTGCTTGATATAAAAGTAAAAAAAATATACAGAAGCTACTACTGAAGGCCAAGGATCATATCTTATTCATCTTTGTTCACCCACTGCATTTTGAAGGCGCTTTATTCACGCTGTCATAACTGTCATATTTATATTAATTTATGCTCTAAGATAGGCACTGTCAGAGTACTGAAAGGAGTGTAAATTGGTAAAACTTGACAGTGTGAATAAAGGGCCTTAAAAATGTCATAAATGATAACTCAAGAGATAATCCATTTCAAGGGATCTAACCAAAGAAATAATCTAAATTATGAATAATTGATAAGCAGGTATTTACCTTGATGTTTATAATAATCAACAGAAATATCTCCACATACGTAAATATTTAAATTGTGGTACATAAATGACAGAATGTTATATCATTAAAAATAATGTTTATAAATAGTTATTAGTGACATGGAAAAAAGCTTATTGTACAACGTTAATGAGAAAAGTAAGATACCAAGTTATATGTCCAACCATGATATTAACTATGTCAAAAACAAATATGCATAGGAAAAAAAAATGAAGTAAATCAAAATGTTAATATTAATTAACTCATCTTGAGAAATTTTATGTTCTTCTTTTGATATTTTTCAGAATTTTCCAAATGTGTTATAACAGGTAAATTATTTTCACAATCAGAAAATAGCAAGAAGTGCTTTAAAAGTCTCTCCCATATAAAGTAAATTAATAAAACCTTATTCCTTATGATTTAGAAGTCACTACACAATTTGTACAAGTAATATTTACCTCATCATCATCAGGAACTGGTTCATATAAGGATGGTACCCAAGCAAGAATATTGCAGTCTCTGCTACCACTATAAAGTTCCTGTAACACAGAAAGAAAAAAAAAGATATGATTGGGGATGAATTTAAAGCTGGTACCAATTTGAAATGAACTATATTAATTTTTGAAGTGACTAATTCTTAGTTTAGATTAATTAGATAATTCTATTTCCACTCTCTGAAGAAAGTAAGCCAATGCCCTTTTTCTTTTCTTTCTGTTTTAAGATGTAGTACAGCTTTGTTTTGTATTTAAAAATAGTAATAGGATATTTCAGAGCTTGGTAATGGTGTGAAAATTTTTCAAAAACACTGACATCCTAGCAGTTTTATCAATCATAGTATCCATATAATTCAAGTGTCAGAATAGAAAAAGAAAAAAATAAATGAAATAGAACTGTCCTTTCTCTGTCACTAACTGAACTTTAATAAAGACTTTAATGAAGAAACCACATGAGTTTTTACTAAAATAGGCCAAAAGTTCAGAAAAAGTTTTATTTACAACTTGTTGCTATTCAACAAAAGAGACTGAAGACCCATACCCTGTGCTTTCTGAGAAGTTTACTTCATAAGGAGAAGCTTGGGCTGATGATATACAGTCTATGTCAATATGATTATGGATATGTTGCTTGCTTATGGCTGAAAAATGCTTACTCCACTCCCCAACAAAACCAAAGGAATATGTCACATTGACTTTTACCAAAAACATTCCTATGTGGCAGTGAAATAAATACTTTTATATACAGAGGTATAAATTGGTATAGTCTTTTTGGAGAACAGAATCTTGGTATATATCAAAAGTTTTTTTTTTTTTTTTCCTTTTTGTCTTTTTCCGTGTCCGGCAACGGATCGCAACCCTCAGTGTCGCCCCCGTACCGGACCGGGACCAGCAACGGGATCGCAACCCTCGGTGTTGCTCCTGCGCCTCGCTCAGCCAGTGAGCGGGAACCAGTCTGTATGTGGGATCCGAACCCTCGGCGGGAGCGCCGCCGCACTTCCCAAGCGGCGCACTGTAGCAGTGTGCCACCGGGCCGGCCCATATATCAAAAGTTTTTATATGCACTTCTGAGAAGTTATACTGAAGTTGCACATAAAATTCAAGGATATCGTAAGTGTAATATTTATAATAACAAAAAATATAAATGATTGTTGAAGAATAGAGGAATGACTATCAGTAAATTAATGTTGCATTCATATGATGGACTTATTTTATAGCCATTAAAATAGTTTCTAAAGAATATTTAATGACATGGGAAAAAACTCATAATGTCAAGTGAAAAGAGCAAGATGTAAACCAAACACTCATAATGCCAAAAGAAAACAACAGGATATCAAACAGAAGGTCAATAATAATAATAATGCTAAAATTACTGTGCAAAAGAGAAAGGGTTAAAAAGAAAAAGCAGCAAAATGTTAAGTGGTTGTAAAACCATGAATGATTAAGTGACTTTTATCATCACAAATATATTTCTGTATTTCTACATGAATACTTCTAACAATAAGCTCTAGTATGCAATTATTTGTTTTTATCATTGTACATCTCAAAACAATTTGAGGCATTGTATAATTAGTATTTTTTATTTAAGTAAGGGTTTTAGGTAAAGGGAAAATAAGATTATGAAGTTATTTGTAGGAAATATAGATGTAAAAAAATTAAACTAAATTAGATATAAGTTTTCAAATTTCCTAAATAAAACAAAATTCTATTGACCGTATTGAAAAACCTAGAATATATGATTACACTAACTGTGGATGATGCAAAGAAATGTTCATGTGTTCAGTGCCCTTAAGCAATTTAGTTTTTCTAAGAAGGCAAGATGAAAACCCAAGAAAACTTGGTCAGATAAGCTTACAAGGCAATCATAGTAAGCACTGACATACTGAGTAAAGGCATAAAAGGTATTCTGTAGATGTCCAAGAATGAGAACTTAGAAGAGGCAGCACTTAAATTAGAATAATTAATAAAGAATACTTAGGTGGAGGAATGTAGATTGAGCCTTGAAGTGTTTGGGGTAGATGTAGAGGTTTACTTGGGAAATTAGATTTTATTAAAAAACAATCTCAAAACGTAAGTTACAAATGCAGTACAAAGAAAAAAATTTTTTTTCCTTAAGCATGTAAGAGTAAGTTGCCAACATAAGGCCCTATCACTCTTGAACAGTTCATTGTATATTTCCTGTAAACAAGGGAACTTTCTTATATAGTTAAAATGCAACTGACAAAATCAGAAAATTCACATTAATATATTACTACCATTTAACACGTAGACCCCATTTAAGTTTCACCAATTGTCCTAATATTGTCCTTTATAGCCAAAGGATTCAGTTAAAAATCACAAACTGCACTTAGTTGTCATGTGTCTTTAATTTCCAGACTGGAACAGTTCTTTAGTCTCTGTTTGGGTTTTCTGATCTTGAAATTATTGAAGATACACACTAGTTATTTTGTAGAAGGTCTCTCAAATTTGGTTTGTCTTGTACTTCCTCATGATTAAATTCGGGTGATACAATTTTGTCAGGAACATCATAGAAGTGATGTCTTATAACTGGGGTATTAACTCTGATCATTTGATTAAGGTGATCTATGCCAGGCTTCTTCAAGGTAAAATTACACTTTTTACCTTTGTACTTAATGTTTTGTACAGTAGTACTTTAAGACTATGTAAATATTCCATTTACGTATTATAAATTATAATATTTACATATTATATTTACATATAGTATTATAATATTTACATATTATAAATTTATTTATTTATACCAGCATGGATCCATCGATTTCCATTTTAGTTGATGGGTTTAACATCCATTACTATCATTATTTATTTTGATGTTGAGTGTATCTTGTCAGATTTTTATATTTATGATAGAATTACTATAATTTTATTTTCAGATAATGAGTTTCATATATTTAATTTGCAAAAGGGTTCTGCTGCTAATGGATGCAAAAGTACTACCCTGTTTTACCTTTGAGATTTATAATTATTTTCCTTTTCAGAATCATAACAGGTGAAATGGGATAAGAGTTGGGAGCTTACTGATGTATTGTAGTGATTAAAATCTAAGTTCATAGCACATACAGAAATGGTATTTGTCAGGAGGCAACTGGCCCCAGGTCACTGGCTGTCCCAGCTATTCCAGGCACTAAGAGGAATCAATATATTGGCACACTTTTAATCCATTCTAGGCACACCTGTTAGGATGCTCCAATTTGGTAGAAAGCTATAATCTGTAGTCAGAATATCTGGATTTAAATCTGGCCTGTGTCTCTAAGTGACTCTGGACAAGAAGAGAGGGACAGTATACTAAGAATTTCTTTGAATAGAGAATTATGTCTTGTCAATAACTATTTTGCAGATTTGGGGCAAGTCATGTCACCTTTCTGGAACTCTAGTTTTCTTCTCCCAAAAGTAACATTAAAAATGTTTAACAACTGGTACATCAAGACACTGACTAATCAAAAGGCAAACTGGCCACAGAATTGGAGCAGGGTCCTGGAGGTCCCCTTTTAGTTGCTGGGTTGAGGTGAGGTCTAAGAAGTCCCAGAGAAGGGGCTGAGATATGTAAGTATTTGAATATTTTCATAATGGATACTGCCACACTGGTGTGTACTGGCTGAAAAATCAGCCTATATATGTTGCAGCTCATAATCCATAATTTTCACTCTATCGGTATTTAACTCTCATGAGCTTCATTTTCCTCATCTACAAAACAGAGAAAATACCAACTATCCTACTATATTAGACTCATTTAAAAGAGCACATGAGGAAATCTGTGCAAGTGTTCTCTGAAAAAAAGAACCACCCGCAATCTGCTCCATTGGCGACATGAAAGAGAAAGGTCAGGATGTTAAACAAACAAACAACAAAAGCCATTGGTATGTAAGAAATTTTATGTAAGTTGTATTAACTCAAAAGCATACCTTTATTAGCCACTGACAGAAAATAAGGAAGAAATAAAATTTTAGACACACACATACATAAACTGATACACAAACTACATTTTGAGATTAAATACCTATGTACATATTTCATTTTTTTACCCAAAAGATTGTCTGTAAGAAATTATTTTAATTCATCAGAAATTTTCAACTGCTAAGTAAATGGAGCCCATATACAAAAGAAAGAGAATTCATCCCAATCAAGTTGCATGGTATTATATTGAATCATGCATATATCCTATGCCATCTAAAAATCAAGGCTGTATCATTTTCTATTAAATAAATCCTAGCTCAAATGTGGATTAAAAGTATAACTCCAGAATAAAATCACAATTTTCTCTTTTGTATAATAAAATAGTAGTCCAGCAACCTAGTTACCTGGAAATTTTAAATTCCCTTAAGTATCATTCTTACCTGGAAATTAGACTGAAATACACAGCAGTCAACACTTTTATAATGTCCCTTAAGCATAGTTATCTGTTCTCCTGAGTAAACTGTATAAACAGCAATGGTGCTACCATATGGTACAAAAACAAATTCTGAACTGCAGCCACAGGAGACAGTGAATTTCAATCCTTTTCTACTGTTATTACAAACTTTTCCATAGTTCACCTGTAGGATTAAAATCATGAAGTTACTCATTTCTTAAATCTTAAAAAGGCAACAAAGACTGAGAGAAATACTTACTTCTAATATTATAATGTACTAAAGAAAAGGCTCTTTTAAATTTAAAGAAAATGTTCACTCTCTTAATAGAAATAAGGGCCAATTATGTGGATGTACATTTGAGGTAAAAGGAAACACAAATAGTAAAAAAAAAAAAAAAAAAAACCCACAGGGGCAAACATCCACATTTCAACCTTAATAGAAATAAAAATGCAAATTAAGGCAAACTTGAAAGAATAATTTTAAACCATTCAGGGGCAAACATCCACATTTCAACCTTAATAGAAATAAAAATGCAAATTAAGGCAAACTTGAAAGAATAATTTTAAACCATTTAGCAAAAACCTTAAGAAACACAAGACAATACTGGTATAGGTGAGGTGGCTTTGTAATTTGGTTATTCCCTCTAAACACATTTCAACCTTAATAGAAATAAAAATGCAAATTAAGGCAAACTTGAAAGAATAATTTTAGACCATTTAGCAAAAACCTTAAGAAACACAAGACAATACTGGTATAGGTGAGGTGGCTTTGTAATTTGGTTATTCCCTCTAAAAGGCCAAATGGCTTATTGTGCAACAAAACACAAAGATATTCCTTTTTAGGGAGGTATAATTTTCTATTCTTTTCATTTCTTAATATTTTTAATTGTGGTAAAATTCACATAACATAAAACTTACCATCTTAACCATTTTTAAGTGTACGGTTCAATGGCATTAAGTATATTCACACTGCTGTGTAACCATCACCACCAGCCATCTCTGAAACTCTTTTCATCTTGCAAAACTGCACGCATTAAACAACAAAGATATTCTTACCCCTTGATCTAGTGATAACTCTTGGGAATTTATCTTTTTTTTTTTAAAAGATGACCGGTAAGGGGATCTTAACCCTTGACTTGGTGTTGTCAGCACCATGCTCAGCCAGTGAGCGAACCGGCCATCCCTATATGGGATCCGAACCCGGGGCCTTGGTGTTATCAGCACCGCACTCTCCCGAGTGAGCCACGGGCCGGCCCTTGGGAATTTATCTTAAGGAAATAATTAAACAGCAAGAAGCCATATGCTCAGTGGAGTTCAATGCAGCATTACTACCTAGAATGGCAAAATAACTGAGAATAGAAGTATATCCCTAATAATGTTATATTAACTCTATGGCTTATATAAATCACAATTATAAAAATTATGCGCAGAAAACAGGGATAAAGCCAAAGTATAAAGAACACAAATAGTATGTATACTGTAATTTTGGCTTTATATAATTAATTATGCATTGGGGACAAAAATTAAAATTCTGTACTTGTACTCCTAGGTGTAGTCTGAAGCCAAGCAGCATGTCACCTGAGCAATTAGACATACAGACTTCCAGTCAACACCCCAATTCTACTGAAGAAAAATCTTCATTTTAACAAGACCCCTAGGTGATCTGTATGTTCATCAAAGTCTGAGAAACTTTGGGCTAAAGAAATAGACAATCAGGTTTACTTCCTGCTGATAATTTTGATAAGAAGCTTGTGGGTATAAAACCAGTAGCTAATCATTTGGGAATTATGAGCATGCAGATCGCCAAAATCTCCCTTGAGTGTCTCAAGCACGCTCCCACCTCCGGGTCTTTGTACTTTTTTCCTTCCTCTGCCTAGAATGCTCTCCCTCCCAAATAACTGATGGGTTACTCCCTCATCTCCTTCAGGTCAAATGTCACCTCAGTGAGGCCTACTTTGACTGCCCTGTGTAAAACAACTCCAATTTCCCAATATTTCCTATGCTCCTTTCCTTGCTTTGCTTTTCTTCATAGCACTTACCACCTCATCTATTATAATTTATCCATCCACCCATCTACTGATTAATTGATGCCTTTTATCCTCTCCCTGGAATGTAAGCTCTGTGAGGATAGGACTTACCTAAGTTTTGTTCACTGCTGTATAACACTGCCTGGAAAATAGTAAGTGCTCAATACTACTTTTTAAACAAATGAATGAAATGAAAAAAGGAACGTGTGACCTGATCAGGGATACAATATAATGAATGGAAGATTCTAAATTATAACTCACAATGCCTGAATTTCTAGCCAAAGTATGATAAAGAAGCATCTTATAAAGAAAATGAGGGAACAGCAAACTCTGAAGTAATCTAGACATAAACAATTTTGATCGTATAGTAATATTAGTAGTAATAATGAAAGTGACACCTAGAGTATCTGAAAGAGAATTATTAGTGAGAAAGTATGATTAAAGAAAGAAATATGATTAATATTAATACCTACATAAATGATTAAGGGGTCTGGGTATAATCATTATGGTAAGAGAGGCCTCTAGAGTCAAATTCTGTTGCTTTCTAGCTTTGTAAATTCAGGAAAGTTATGTGACCATTTTAAGTCTCATTTTCCTTGTTAAACGGGTATTATGACAATAACTACTGTCATAGTGCTGATCTGACAGTTAAATAAGACAACATATACTCCAGCACTTACATTAAATGCTAATTATTAGCATAGTATCTGGTATATACGCTCTCAGTAAAACATTAGCTATTATTATTATCATCAAATTATAAACTTTTGGTACTTTATTCTGAAAGTTACTAAAGCACATCATACCTGAAAAGGACTACAATATATAAAAGTATGTATGAGTACTTTTTCAAGTGCTAGAAATTAATCATCACATAAGAATTTAGTAACTTCAAAACACATTCATTCCAGTATTAAATAAAGTACTATACTCATATATTCTGGTACTATAACATTAATTTTGGATTTTGTTTGCAGGTCATATATAGCATAAAATTGGACTACTTAGCTTTATAACTTTAATTTATATCAGTAGTTCTCAATCTTTTATTCTTTTCCAACATATCTGACAGATATGGCACACTTCTATTAGGAACAGTGGCTCAGTAGAGCAGTGGTTCTCCACTAAGGAGGGGGGGCAATGTGATAAGTGGTGGGGTGGGGATGCCGATGGGTTGTCTTGAGTTGAGAATTATTAATTCAAATAGCAGAAAAATATTTTTAAAAAAGAGTCATTGATTCATAGGCAAGAAATGGAGTTAAGTCTACAGAAAAATATCAAGTGTATGTCGCAGATCCATTTCTTTAATTTATATCCAAAAAAGTACTTAAAAATCTCTTACTAGTGTGTTTTCTCCATTTGAACTATTCCAAAGCCTCATTCGATTGTCTGTACCAACAGTGAGGAGGTGGAGCCCATCACTTGTAAAACATAAGCCATTAACTTTCCCATTGTGAGCAGTGTTTGCTGCAATGAAAAATACAGTTCAATTTATCTGTTCTTTTATTCAGCACTTATTTAATACTTGATATAATTATTTAAGTATATTAAAGAACAACTATGTGAGCTGCTATATAAATTAGAAGCATAAAAACAGAGGAAAACAGGAAAATCATAGGGGAAAAAACCCAGCCAAACATAATTGTTTCTCAGCAAATAAGCTGTACTATCAAATTCAATGAAATGCGTAGCTTAACGCAAAAATTTTAAATTAATAGCCTTTCATTCTTCTTATATAATATTTCTGTTTTTAATCTAAAAATAATTCCAGGGACTATTAAAAATCATAATACTAGTGTTTCCCATTAAAAAAAGAAAAAAAAAATCTTAACAGGGAAAGAACTGTTGCCTCAATTAAAATTTATATCACTTTCAAAAATGAACTAGTTTAAGAAAGCATAATTCTTAATAGCTTGATTAATTTAATTTTTAAAAGATTACTAAAACAATCATACGTTCACCCTAATATATGTCCAATCTAGAATTCTGAGTCAAAAGTTAATAGAATTTAATAGAAATTGTAAACATTCAATTGCGGTACTTTGTTACATGGATTGCAGCTGACCTGACATTTAACACGATTTTATGCTGGCCACAAAATATCACTATTTATGTAATTAATTGTGGCTTACTAAGTGGCATTGAACTTGCATAGTTGGCCTCATCAGAGGGAAAAAAAAATCAGTAAAGCAATTTAATCCAGAGATTCCTACCCTTGAAAATCTGGGGGCAAATGAAACTGCTATACTTATTTGTATTTTGAAGACAGACAACCGTAATTTAGTTTATATACATTTATTTTTTTTATTTTTTTTATTTTTATTTTTTTAAAAGATGACCGGTAAGGGGATCTCAACCCTTGGCTTGGTGTTGTCAGCACCACGCTCAGCCAGTGAGCAAACCGGCCATCCCTATATAGGATCCGAACCCACGGCCTTGGTGTTATCAGCACCGCACTCTACCGAGTGAGCCACGGGCCGGCCCAAGTTTATATACATTTAGAAAGTGATTTATGGTGAATGACTTTTTAAAAAGAATCATAAAGTTTAAAATTTGTCAATATACATTTATTTTTTGGCTTCAATTAATAATTTTCAGTGTAAAAAAAAATACTATCATTGTCATATTTCTATATTAATGCATTTTCTCATTACCTGATTCAACAGCTTGTGACTTTTTCCCATTATGCTGATCAAGAGTAATCAAACATCCTGATGCTCTTCTCACATCCCATAATTTTACTCTACTGTCAGCACTTAGAAGAAATAAATGTTATATTGATATATACGGCTAGGATGGTGACTGTATCCCTCACCCACCTTTCCAGCATTATGGTACACAGAGGTCTCAATATATCAGCATAAACATATTTGCACATTTGTGTTGTTGTAATTTTGCCTTTTCGAAAAATATTCAACAGTCAATAGTAGCATAAAGAACTGAAAAAATAGCAAAAAAAAAAAAAAAAAATTCTGTTTCATATCACAAGGACAAAATTCTGCTACTTTTTACACTGTTTTTAATTACATGAGCATCTTTTCCCTAAAGGACTAGACAGGCTTGTAGCTTGTTCCTGGTAAGTTTGTTACTACATCTTTTCTACTGTTTGTTATCCAAGTGCTGTCAAGACAATCAAACAAGTAAATAATTTCACTTTGCTGAAGAATCCATTTGACATAAATTTTGTGGTTTTTTCTTCTTTTTACACATAAAAAAATTAGAGTAAGGTAAATAATGAAGACAATGTATTTTCATTCAGCTTCCTGCACTCAAATCAATCTTTGCCAGGTATATGAGAACTACATTTAATGTCTCCTGGAAACTAGACACTTATTTTCATTTTCTTTCAAGTAACCAAATAGAAAAAGGCAAATCCTTGATCATACATCAATTTCAGCATCTAGGATACTCCTAAAGAAAAATGCCCAGCAGTCCTCTGGGCCCCTAATCAGTTCAACTGATGCTATGTCTTCACAAAGACTTTAACAGTATTCTAATCCATTGGGTTTATCCATACCATTTTAATAAGAGAGAGCATTATATTACATTTTATAAGCCTATTTTTCATTTATAATTTTAAAAAAATATACACACAGGGTTGTTTCTATAATCTTGATTCTTTTCACAGATTACTATCAAACTTAGCCAACTGGAATAGTCAGCAAAAAGCTAGTATTTCCTGTTCTGATTTTGGTTTTCTTTCTTTCCAGCTGAGGAAAATGTCTACAATGGGATGAGTCTAAGGATTTATGTCTCTTCTGAAACATATTAGATTTGGACATACCCAACTATCAACACTGATTACCAGGTCCATTCTCGTACTGATTCAAATTCCTGGGGTACTCTGAGCATTGAAAGCCTCCTAGTTTCCTTCTCATCTGAGGAAAACCAAATTAAGCACAAACAATGTAAACCTACCCTAGCACGGACCCACAATCAGCACTTAGCTCCTCACCTTCATACCACTTTAGCCAGTTTTCGTATGGCTACAATTTAAACCTTGCTGTACTTCACAAATGATAAACTTCAACATCACATTCTGCAAACTATAATTAAACTGTGACAGAGAGGGAGGGCTGGCAGCTTTAAAAAAAAATTCCACACATATCTTTATAAAACTAATATGAATAGATTTTGTAATAACTCTTCTACAAAATGCTTTATTAATATGTTAATACCAAAAAAGAAAAATCTTTGACTACTACTTCCTATCTCTTCAATTTATGAATTTTCTTACTCTGCCACTCATACTTTTACCTCATTAGGTCCTTAATCCCTCCTATAAGCCTTTTTGTGACTTTATTTCCTTCACTATACCCATGACTTCAACAATTTTCAGACATGGAGGTATTTTCTTTTAAACACTGGAAATTGTTAAGTCTGTGTCATTTAATGTTTTGATTTCTGTGGCTTAGTATAGCTGTGGTCTACTCCTTCAATTGAGCACAAATGCCTAGCATTACTATGTTCCCCTAATCAGCTCCCTGTCCATTCAATCTGTTATTCTGATCTTTACTACCTTCCCTCAAAATTGCATTACCATCCCTATATTTTCAACAGATGACATGAAATTCCACTCCACTAAAAAACAATAGAAGCCATTAGGTTTGCCTTTCTTGAGCTTCCCTGCCAAAGCTACAACTTAACTGTATTCACATCCACCTTTTCCTACTTCTGTTTAGTCTCACAGTGCCCAATCAAGTGCCTCCATTTATCTAGACTCTTGATACTACCCCATCCTGTCTATTCAAGGTCCTGATGCACCAATTTTCCCCTCCATTTCTTATCTTCACCCATTTATCTCTACTGGTACTTTCTCCCCAGCATATAAATATGCAGTACTCTTTCCTTCAACAAACACACAAAACCCCAAAACCTTTTGATTCTCCCAGAATTAAGGGCTCCTTCCTTTCTTTTCCAATATTACACCTACCAAAGATATACCTCTATTAGAGCATTTTTCAAGATGTCCTGTAATCACTGATTTTTCTGACTATATTCCTCATCAGACTGTTAGCTTCTTGAAGCCTTGATTACTTCTGTATCCCTAAGACTATGCTTGGAACATGGTAGGCAGTCATTAAATATTAGTAAACTGAATCAGTGAGTAGTGAATGTGTTGCATCAGATTCAAAATAATTCTGGGTTAAGAAAATGAATAAAAATATGACTATTTTTAAATTAACATAGTGTCATAGTTTTGTGTACAAAAATGACACAACATGGTTTTTTTACTAGTAGTGCTTGCAGATTTGCTTTAAAACATAGATTCTCATGTTTTCTCTTTTCTAAAAGGTGAACACCTTCAAGATGAATGGTTAGGATTAGGAGTATGATGCAAATGGAAGATTTCTTTTGATGATATGAATTAAAATCTCTAACTCAATATTTCATTTTTAAGGGGCTAATTAATACTTAAATGATAAAATTTGTATCTTACATAAGTGTAATCTCTTCAAAATGCTTATTATTAACTACTAACATTAACTTCAAAACCAAATAAGTTGGATTTTACCTTGCAGTTGCCAAGATGTAGTCATAACGTGGTGACCAGGAAACTGCCAATATTTCCTGTCTGTGACCTGCAAACACAAATGTATGAAAAGTCTTGTTGAAATATTTGAAAAATTAAAAGATAAAGTGCCAATAATTTTGCCAAGTTTTCAAGAAAGTGAGGCTAAGTATTAAAAGTGCATAAATATGATGATCATTTTTTCTCATTTGTAATAATCTATGTTTAAATGCTGATGTGAAGTCTATGGGGGTATTTCTAACCATAATATTTTATTATAAAGGGACTGGTTTTGCTTTGGAAAAAACAGTCAGAGCAAGTGAATCTTTCTTTTTCAACACAGTTGTTAGGCTATATGAGTCAATCCATATAACTCCAGCTCAATTACGTATCTCTACAACAAAAAGCCACTGCAGTAAAACATACAAGATACACATATTAAGTAATAAAAGTGTTTTCCAATTTCTCATAAAGTTATAGCAGAAAAAAATTAACTCATGAATGCAAAAACACATCTGTATTTTTTTTTTTTTAGAAAGCACAGGTGATAAGGTCACAGGATAAGTGATTTCAACATTTTAATTCACTTTTAACTAATGGAACTACTCAAATAAGACATTTTCATCTGTCTAGCTTTTATTAATAGAAATTCATAATAATGTAAAAAAATGGTACTGATCTCACTAAGTTTTCTTGATATATCTGTGTTTCTCAGAGATGAATGAAATGTATATGAAAATGTATATTTCTGAATTACATTCCACCTTTTCATTGTTTAGAATACTGATAAAAAAAAGTAATGAAAATAATTTAAATGAGGGTACTTCAAAAATTCTTGGAAAAGTACTTCAAAAAGTTCATGGAAAAATAGAATTAAAAGAGAATATGAATCTTTCCAAGAACTTTTTGAAGTACCCTCACATAACTTTACCAAAGTATTATTTCAACATCATTT